GAAAGCTCACTTGTAGCCATCTCCACAATGAATTCAATCTGTGCATTTATTGTTTTAGGTTTGTAAAATAAAACCATAAATGGTGGTTCCGATGAAAATTTGACCCATAAAATAATATAAAAATATCTTTGCAGTAACTGGACAGAATAAATTAAACTTTTCTACACTCCTAGACACTATAGTTGCACAAAAAAATAATTTATAAATGCAAAAAAAGTGCATTTAGCATGATATGTCTCCTTTAATATGCAGTCATGGTCAGATTTCTTGATTGAGGTTGGGGTTGGGGGTTCATTGCATTCCTGAGTTGATGGATGGGTTTCAGTACCGTTCCACTGCAGAAATCCACAACTGTGCATCTTGGTCTGGCAAGCTCCGTGACCATGGCAACCAAGTTATTTAGCTGTTGCATCTTTCTGACGGCACGGATGTTTGACATTTTCCCTGCACAGAAGGAAATAAAATTACAAGTTCTTATTGCACAAAATGGAGAGTGACAAGTTTTTTACAGCTTAAAACTCAGTAGGGGATAAAGAACACCCACTTAGAGAAGAAAGACTTAGCAACAATGAAAATATAAAATGATCTTTAAGAATATTATTGCACTGTGATGGCTATAGATGTATAAAGAAAAAAAAATAAATCCAGCTGCATATTTTCATTTGTTGCTTTATTGCCCAGGAGTGAGCAGGATTATTTTCTATCCAAAACCTGCTTAGATTATAATTCACAACCAACAATTCTCAGTAATGGTTATGGCACACAGATGAAAAGGCCTCCTCTGCCTCATCACAGTGATTCCCACCATCTGCCAGGGAGCGCAAACAATTTCTCATCATAAAAAGTGGGCCTCAGAGCCAAAGTCAAGTGTCTGCGTGTTGTGGAACTTCCCACTGCTGTGTGAGCAATATGAATCCCATTACCTCAAAGCAACATGAAACCTCCTGCATCCTCACTCTTCTGGTGCAAAATACTTGTTACTTGGCTATTGTGCTGTGCAGATGTCGTTTTGTGCTCATATCTAAACTGAAAAGGGTATAATTTGCCCCTGAGTTGCATCCATGTAGTAAAGCCTAAAACAAAAAGAAAACATTTTTCTTACACAAGATCACTGTTGTTAACAATGCTTTTATTAAACTAACAGGTGTATATATATACAAAACATATACATTTTAATTTTTAAACTCTAACATAAACTAATACTGAGCTAACCTAATCACAATAAAGAAAGTGACAAATAAGATGGGGAAAATATCCAATATGTTTCCAGCCAGTGCTTTCAGATGTGAACATCTGCACAAACTAATAGGATAACACTAGACCCTAATTCTGATTTTGGGGGTCTTTGTCAAAACATTGCACAGTTTTTTTTTATTTAAATGCAGACTCTGTTGTGCAGGTCTGTCACCACAGAAGTTGATTTCAGCTTAAATTGTACATTTCAAAGTGTAGTTCTGACTGCAGTATTTTCACATGTGCCCTGCTCAGGGACATCTGTTGAAGTCTGTCGTTCTTTGTCCTTGGAATGTTTTTTTCCCTCTCTCACAGTCTTTACAATATTCTGTAACCAATCCTTACTTGGCCAGATTTTTCTGACGGTCATAGCACTCTAATTTCTTTGTTTCTCAGTGTGGAAAGAAAATGAAGAAATTCAGACAGCTCACACCTATTCTTGTTGCCTGGATATCCAAAGCAAATGGAATAAAGCTCGAAATTACATCTTTCTATTAAAAATGTTATATAATTTTTCATTTATTTTTATATTCATAAACTGACATACTTTTCACAGGAGCCAGAACCTTTCTTCTAACTGTTTAAAGTGCTCTAGATCAAGTGTTCTTCAAGATTTCTGAAGGGTTGTAAAAGTTTTTCTTTGACACCCATGGAACATGGGCTGCATTTCCATCAATAAATCCAGTACCTGACCAATTTCACATTTTTTTTTCTTAAGCAATTCACTCTGACCTAGGCATTAAAAAATCTGAGAAATGTATAGTCAAGACCCTTTTAAAAAGTTTATAATATATTTATATGATTGGGAGCAAAATATAAAGAAATTATGGATGATTTAAAACAGCAAACTACTATACATAAAATATACCTGTGAACATATAAATGAAAAATCCAACATTTGTAATTTGAATTACAGGAACTCTGTAAACACCAAAAGTAAATAAAAAAAAAGACATTTCTCAGATGACAAAGCCTGAAATGAGTCATTTTATTTCTGGTAAAAAGAAAAATATATCTTTTGTATTTATTTAATTGTTTTTCTGAGAACTGCAGGTAAATAATTTCATAAATTCTTTGAAGTAGAGAAGATAATGTCCTGAAACAGTTTTTTTCCTCTCCTTTTTTAAATTAAAACATGCCAATGATTGTGTTTGTAGGACAAAGCAGACTATACAGTATCAGCAAACAACTATGTGCAGATGACAATAAAAATATTAAGGTTTGTGATGAACCTCAGCTTTATGGTAGATGTCCAGTAGATGTATGCTTGTTTTACCCTAACATTTGACTCGGGCATGTCAACATTTACTTTAAATTAAAACTGTATTTTTAATTTTTCTCCATCGAGCCAAGTGACAAAGAAAGTTCATCATTAAGCAACTTAATCTGCATATGCATATTATTTGCACTGCACAGTTTAAAGTTGTGACTTGATGAAAAGTTCCTTGAAAGTAGTGGTAAATGGATTAATATTTTCAATTTCTGTACATGAGAACTTTGATGTTTTGCTGCCATTCTGAACCTAACCCATACAAAGCTCACAGGGACACGGGACATTATTAAAACCCATTTAATATCAAAGCTTTTCTAGCTTTAGGGTATCAATAAAAAATGGATAATGGATCTGTAGATCTTTTAAATTAATGATCAATTTTACCAAATATAACTTCAAATCCAGCAAAGTATTCTATAGTAGTAGTTAACACAAACAGTATTATACGATATAAAGCCCAAAGACATTTACAAATTTAAACTGATGTTATAAATGAGGCTGCATTTCAATCATTGCAAAAAATAAACATTATACTCTACAGAGCATGCATTCATTGTATACTTATCCCATAAATAGCCACTGACCTTATTCCTTGGTAAACAGGCAGAGCAACAAGTAATGGCTCTAGATTTTTTTTTTAAATATACACAGTAATACCTTCCAGAGGGACATGCGACACAAATTGTCAGAGGATCTCAACATTACAGAACAGTTTAAAAAATCATTCTAGGTGAGATTCAGATTCAAAGATTCGCTGACCTATAATGTACAAAGTATTTGTGTAAAACCTGATTTTCATTTCTGAAATCATTCATAAACAGTTTTAGATGATGCTCTGACAAAATACTGAAGAAATGTGAAAAAGTACCAACTACTTTAGTTCAATATTAGATCTTTGAGCATTTGATGAGTTCTAATGGGTGTTTACGTATAATCTGATGAATATAAATGGACAATCTGAATGATTTTTTAATCTTTGGATTTTCTGTTGATTCCACAATCAGTGTTTTTCTGCTCCTTGCAAGCTCAGAGTTCACACCACGGGATACCTGTCACATCTGTTCATTTCCCAATCATGGTGCTAATTCTTATATAAAAAGGGTCTAAGAATATAGTCTGCAGACTGATGTGATTCAAAAGCTGGCAGCCTGAAAGAAAGTACAAAGACATGAAAGCTACAGGCAAAATGCAAACCGTATGAGGCTCTGCATTAGGAGAACATGCTTTGCTCGACAGAAGGGTTTGACACCTCAGTGAGGAGAAAACAGGCTGCAGCAAAGTCACCGTGGGTGACTGAGGATCAGTTAACCTGTATGTCCTCTGCTTAAAGGTGTGTATTCCTGCTTCTGTTGGCAGTGAGCCACAATTTCCTCTTTTCTCTCCTGGTGGTGCTCATGGCCTTATCAAGCAGGTCCATCACACAGATTAGAATCTGAAGACAACGCTGTGACAATAAGGGGGGATGTGCAGGATCCTGCTCTGATTCCTCACATGACAAGCTGGTTTATAAAACAAACCCAAGCACAACCTAAATAAAGTTTGGATTATTTTATGCTTTAGAAAATATTAAATATATTAACTAATCATTTAATTTACATGTTTTGAGTAACAACTGCTATTTGGCCGATATGAAATACTGTAAAATAAAGCAAAAGGTCTTTTTTTATCTTAAGTGTTATGAAGTGAGTTAAGAACAAAATGTAAAATTTTATGCTTCATATTACACAGAGGACATGTTACTTTTTGGGAATGCAGAAAAACAGATCATTCAAAGCCCTCGCAGCATTAAAATGTGAAAAATAATTAGTTTCCCAAAAGTTTCAAAACAGGAAACTGGGGCGGCTGTTTTTGTAGCATATTGTTATGAAATCATGTAGAGAGCTTCATGCTTCAATACTGAAAGGGGAGAAGAGCCAGAATGTGTTTTACTTTGCACAGATCCGTGGACATTAGCATATCATCCGTCACCTTTCATGTCAGAGTTTTGAATAAATCATCTAAAGATGAGAAGGGACTGAGTTAGAGCATTTAGGCCAAACCTTTAATAATGACTTTAGGTGCAATCTCATGCAATAATGCAAAATGTATTAGCACTTCAACTGTGTGTTTTTAATGATTCTCAGCTACCACATTAAACTCAATACTTGTTATATCAATATCTGTATTTGCTAAGGTAGATTAACTGTGGTGACCATTATCAATTCAGTTCACTTCAAAATTTAAGTAATTGTAGATGCACATCCTGTGATCACTTTGAGTGTTTTAAAAAAAATCTGTCTGAGTCACCTGACATTTTGCTAATAGAAAGCGTTGACTCCAACAGTCAATGGCAAAGCTTTGAGCAAATTAAGACATAAAAAAATGATATGTGCTATCAAATACTTAAGCTACTACCACAGTCATTTAACTTAAAGGAGCAATATTATATAAAATCAACTTTTTTGAGATTTTTATTAGGATGTAATGTTATCCTCTCATCAAAAACAAACCTAGAGTCTTGCTTTGACTCATTAGCCGTGTTTCCATCCAATTCTAATTCGAATTCTGAGTGAATTTTTTTAATTTCGCAAAAAGGAAAGAATGAATAAATGTGAATCAGACGTGTTTCATCAGCTGGCTTGAAGTGAATCAGTTACGTCAGACGCATATGTGTAGTAAACAGGAAGTAAAAGTCACATCTCAGGAGAATGGAGAGAAGTTATCAGGAACATGTTACTACCGTCTGGAAAGTTGTAATTATTCTGTTATCAACTAGTTCTGGCGCTGTTACATGCTGTCTGGAGACGTAGAGAAAGAAATGCAAATTTTTTCACTATACGGGAATAACTGAGAAGACGCCGACAGCGGGAGGAGGGTCCAGCTGCAGTCACGGCTGCAGTCACTCTGGTACCGGTACCGGTTTCAAACAGACAGCGAGAAAAGCTGATCAACATAAGGT